ATTTACATCTAGATTTACATCTAGATTTACATCTAGATTTACATCTAATTTGCATCTATATTTGCATCTATATCTGCCAAAGCTGCTATGATGGGAAATCGGTGATACTGATAGTGAGATATTATTTAAATCAACCGGAGTTCATTTAGAGTTTCTGTAGTCGGGTATTTATTAATGATTTCTCTGATGAAAACGTTTTTGTTTTTCTGAAAGAATGAGTGTTAAAAACATCGACGTTTTCTGGTGAGAAGGCTCTTATGAATTCACTGGTATTGTGGATTTTTACGTGGATTGGTATAATTTTTGATAGCATCATGTAAAGCTGTGTATTTCTTTGCAGGATGTTGATACAATTTACATGTCTCACAACAGTCGGGAACTCTGCCTTCAAGACTTCGATCATCTAGATATTAGGTAATGACGAGATTTTTTTATCAGTTTTAATGCGACAAAATATTAATTGTATTTATGATGTGTACACTGTGTGTGTTACACCGTTGCATACTGTCGAGTGTAGCAGATACTCATTCTGAATATAGGAGCACATGCTCAAGTTGCTTTCAGTTCAGTGTTCAACTCAGTCAGACTTGAACAGTGAGTGTGTACTCTCACATTTCTATTCACAAAATAATCGTTCTACTTTTTTTTTCTGGGATGAGCACCCGGGTTTATGTGCAGAAGTTTATGTTTCTAGAGAATATTACCATATTCTATTAAACTGTTGGATGCTTATGTTGGTTGCATGAATAAGCAGATTATTACCTTGTATAATTGGTGCATGCATAATTTGTGTCAGTATGGAGATTTGATTTTAAATGGTTGTTAGATTTAATTATTGTTGCTTTATGGATAGTTTCATGTCATTATATATTATATCTAGTTGGTAGACTTTGGATGAAGATAAATAATTGTAGTAATTACAAAATTATTATTATTCATTGTTTCAGAGATCTTATCCCGGTTGTAGCAGTTTTAGAGTATAGCACATGGTTCATAAGCTTATCGTCCAAAGATATGAAGTTGGTATGTTTTCCATTTCCTACTTATTATACATAGCGTTTACACTGTCAGCGGCAGCCACAGCCAGACACATTAACCAATATAAAGCAGTATGTTCCTGTTAACAGAAACAGAATTTCTTGTACAGTGTTAGATAGCAAGAAAGCTCTTTGCCTCTATTCCTTGAAAGATAGCCTATTTGTGTATTGTCCGTAATGTTATGTAATCAATTATGAATAAACAGTTATAATTAAGTTACAAATATGGGTGCTATACCACGTCACATGTACAACATCATCTGGTTAAAAGAGTCGGCCATATTCTTCCTGGAATCATTCATTTTTGTGTGTGACTTCTACTTCTAAACGAATATTTTAGAAAAGCACTGTATCAGCCAAGTGTTCAACATTTTATTTCGGTAATGTTATTGCTGATTGCTTCCTCCTGCTACAGTCTCAGGATGTGCAACAACATATTGTGAGGGTTGTGGAAGCGTCAACCAGCTTGGAGGAATTAAGTCTGGTTGCAGCCGGTTTGAAATGGTACGTATCTGAATCTTCTTGGTTTTGCATTTGCTTTATTGTAGAATATAGAGAAGGAACATTGCCAATGTGCTTTCACCGTTAATTTAAGGTCATGGTAGCTATTCTTCCGACCACTCAATGTCTAAGATAAAAAGTTGAATGAATCAAGTAGTATTAATTAATTTACTTGTGGTTATGATGGTGTTTTTTAGCATTAAATGCATTTGTGCGTAGGATAATGAGATATTGTGCGTTCCGGTGAGACACAAAAACACCGTAAAATAGCTCTCATTCGTAGTAAAACCCAAATTCAAAATCATAATAAGTGAAAAGGTCTCAAACCTAATACTTGGTTTGCGATTATTCAACTGATATATGTACACAAATAATAAA